AGAAAGTCAATTTTCATTTATTCAGTATCCAACGAATCTTTTACTAAGATAAGCATAAGGTTTGGAAATTCCATGTCAAGAACGTACTTACTTGCTTACTTACTTATGCCTGTTACCCGTCGTCGAGGAGCATAGGCCGCTCACCAGCATTCTCCATCCAACTCTGTCCTGAGCCTTCCTTTCCAGTTCTTTACAGTTGTTATTCATCCTTTTCATATCGGCTTCTATTTCCCGGTGTAATGTGTTTTTTGGTCTTCCTCTTTTCCACCTCCCTTCCGTTTCCAATTTAAGCATTGCCTTGTAATGCACATTGGTGGTTTACTTAATGTATATCCTATCCACTTCCAACGTCTTTTCTTAATTTCCTCTTCAGATGGAAGCTGGTTTGTCCTCTCCCATAAAACGCTGTTGCTCATAGTATCCGGCTAATGGATGTTGAGTATTTTGCGTAGACAACTGTTTATTAATACTTGTACCTTCCTGATGATGGTCGTAGTAGCTCTCCACGTTTCAGCTCCATACAGTAGGACTGTCTTGACGTTCGTATTAAAGATTCTGACCTTGAAATTGGTTGAGAGTTGTTTTGAGTTCCATATGTTCTTCAATTGTAGAAATGCTGCCCTTGTTTTGCCAATCCTCGCCTTTACATTTGCATTAGATCAGATGGACCGGCAGTAACTCTGGAAGAGCTACAGGCAGAGTTATGTCAAGAACGTAGGCAAATAAAATAATTCAAAAATGCTGAGGTATTTATTATATGTCCAGTTTAAATGTATCCATTTTATCATGATTATTCTGCTGAAAAGAGATAAAGTTAAGGTGTTAAAGATTCAAGTTTCTGGTTGATATATCAATTAACCATTAAAATAACATAACATGGTGTTCTCTAAGCAAATGATGATTTCACTATCCTAATCTAACCTTGATATTTGAAAATATAAAATTACTAACTCGTTATTTAAAATCTGATAACTTATGCTTGATATTAGTAACCACCAGAAACAACTTAGACGGTAGTAAAATCTAACACTCTTCATCTGATCCGTTCCTTTTTGACTGTAAAGAACTCTTAATCTAATTATATTGTTCACGGTATACAACTATTTATCTTAACTGTATACATACCTTGATGATTCACGAAAACTATCTTTAAACTAGATATGTGAATGGTGTATTTATCGATTTCCATTGTATGTGTCAATGTAACAGTATCTTACAGTTGTTCAGCAGCTATTATCCCTACAATGTATCTGCTTTGAAAGAATAACGGACACTTCTTTATTATGTTTATTTGAGAAGAAAATAAGACACAGAAATCTTAGTGGAGAAGAATCTACAACTTGTTGTACCATTAACTACAAGCAAGATCTCTATTGTTCAAATTCAATCAATCTACACTTCAAATGTTGCAGAAAATAAAAGAACACTCATTGAAAATGAATAACAACTAAGAATTTTGTATAGAAATAAGAAGGTAACTTTCATTATGAAATTAACAGAGTTATATTTTGTACCCTATACCCCTATCAATATATGACGTAATGATACCGCCAATTAGAGAATAGTGATTTATTGATCGAACCAATGACGCACAAAACCTATTCGAGCAATCTAGAGTAGCTATCGTTCATTCTTCCTGCCTAACCCTGCCTACTGAGTTCAGAACACCAATAACGGCATTTATGATATCAATCATGTATTTGAAAGATACTAGGTTTATATACAAGCTAAACAGACCACATCGTACCATAAAATAGAAAACAACATTTGTACAAGATTTAGCCAAAAGTGGTTGTGAATGTGGGGGGGGACAGTAATTAATAGACTGGGTATAATTCAAGAATGGTCAATCATATAATTATAGTTTATAGGTCAATGTAAAGCTTATAATAAGAGGAGTATAGATAAACATAATCTAACTACTAAATGGTTATACATTAGGAATATACGTATAATATTCTTACATAAATAGATCTCAAGAGTTACCATTCATAATTCTCTCTGAGGATAATAACCATTCTAGTTTAATACCTAACATTATTAATCAGTTACAACTTAATTAGAGATTAATTTTAGGATTTTCACTTAAGTAACCGTTTTAGTTTTTTTAAAACTAGCTAGTTAACAAAATAAACACAGACGAGGCAAGCCCTAACTTGGAATCCTGAAAGGAAGTAGAAAAGAGGAATGCCAAAGAACACATTAGACCGGGAGATTTTAACAAATATGTTAAGGATGAATGTTAACAGGAAAGAACTGGAAAGGATTGCCCAGAATAGGATTGAATGAAAAATACTGGAGGATGGTCTATACTCCTCAACGAGGGGTAACAGGAGTAAGTAAGTAAGTAAGTAAGTAAGTAAGTAAGTAAGTAAGTAAGTAAGTAAGTAAGTAAGTAAGTAAGTAAGTAAGTAAGTAAGTAAGTAAGTAAGTAAGTAAGTAAGTAAGTAAGTAAGTAAGTAAGTAAGTAAGTAAGTAAGTAAGTAAGTAAGTAAGTAAGTAAGTAAGTAAGTAAGTAAGTAAGTAAGTAAGTAAGTAAGTAAGTAAGTAAGTAAGTAAGTAAGTAAGTAAGTAAGTAAGTAAGTAAGTAAGTAAGTAAGTAAGTAAGTAAGTAAGTAAGTAAGTAAGTAAGTAAGTAAGTAAGTAAGTAAGTAAGTAAGTAAGTAAGTAAGTAAGTAAGTAAGTAAGTAAGTAAGTAAGTAAGTAAGTATGTAAGTAAGTAAGTAAGTAAGTAAGTAAGTAAGTAAGTAAGTAAGTAAGTAAGTAAGTCAGTAACAAAATAAGAAAAAAACATTAACACCCAATATTTTATGTGCTTTTTGATTTTGGACACAAAATTCTCACCCCTATTAACTTAATAATAATAATTTTTGAGAAAAGAAAAGAAGACTAAATCACCATGGATATATAAAATTATTAGGTTTTGATTTACCACCCATTTCCAAATCTTTTACTGATTTCTTTCTTTTTTACTTATTTCGATTTGGATAAATAACGCCCTTTTCATATCTGTTAGAATCTCCCGGTCTAATGTGTTCTTTGGCATTCCTCTTTTCTGCTTCCTTTCAGAATTCCAAGTTAGGGCTTGCCTCGTCTGTGTTTATTTTGTTAACTAGCTAGTTAGAAAAAAACAACTAAAGTGGTTACTTAAGTGAAAAGCCCAAGATTAATCTCTAATCAAGTTGTAACTGATTAATAATGTAAAGTATTAAACTAGAATGGTTATTATCCTCAAAGAGTATTATAAATGATAACTTTTGAGAACGTCCTTCAACGTTCGAGATGAATAAACCTATATGTCTCTTTACATCTGTAATATAGGATTTCGTTTAAAATTTATCTAATCTTCTATTCGAAGTTTGTCTTGATGATGTCATTCAGAAGAATGATGAAAGTTCCACGACCAAACCATCCAGCTTAGAGAACAAAACTCCATCAAAATCTGTTACTATTTTAAGAATGAGAGAAATTACTCTATCCAACTTAAAATTGAGTGATAACCTCAATTATTGACTTTGTATGAAAAATCAATCAGCGAGATTGTTAAATAGAGTAGTTCCTTAGAAATTATTTCTTTGATACATAGGGGGGAACACATTCATGTATGAACAGACGAAACTCTTATTGTGATGTGTTATATGACATTGTTTAAACAATCAAGTTATTTTAGGTATTCGACATAAGAATAATCTAGATGACTGAATTATTTATTTATTTGAACATATTAATACTGGTACAAAAAGGTCACCGAATACGTATACGCCACACAACTCACTTCATTTGTGTAGGGGGCTGAGATACTGCCAGGTTGCCCAGACCGAACCAGGTGGTTTTCTTAGGGAGCCACACACGGAGCTTTCGACCTGAAGGTCTGATCCGCAAGGTGGTGGAACAACGTGGTAACCAACGATTGGTTCACATACCATTTGTTCTTTCAAGATCCTAGAGCCTATGTGCATCGTTGATAATCAGAGTTTTCCAAATCCCTTATGTGGACTTTTCCTATCCACCAATCCGGTTGAAGCGTTGGACATTCTGTTTCCGTCCTCTCAATTTCATAAACAACACCCGTAGTGCAAGAAGTCAATGAATAGGACTTCTCTGTTAGTGGCTGTATGCACGTTATCATGTGAGAGCATTTAGAGAAGGAGAGGTAACTCTCCCCACTCGGCCGTACCGGGGCATTTGAAGGCTGAATATGACTGAATATGATCTACGGAATTTTAAAACTGAGTTTACAAATACACAAAAGCAAGGATAGGTAATCATAATTGAAAATATTCCCCAATTAGTAACAAGTTGAGCTATAGAACATTCAATACAAGTAATTATATGTTCGAGTTTTAATATGATCATAAACTGTTAAATACTAACACGGTCTCTCTGTGAAATTTCTCAAGGTACCAGTAAAACTGAACTATAAACGAACCATTCAATGATTGACATGTAAATTAGGTCGATGTCACAGAGGATATATCGACTACCAATGATAAAGTAGATTATCTCACTGATGAATTATAACCTGTTAACTGCATTGTAAATAGCTTCGCTCAGAAAAACAACTAACTAACTTCAGAAATTCATTTTCATTAGTTGTTTGAATCTTCCCATTGATGTTTAGGGCTGCAATTGATCAGTTCCTTATTGGCATATGTGCATCCTGTACGGATGACCTCGATATCACTTTAAATTACAAGTATTTTGAACAGTGATAGATAGTGACTAGTAGTGGAATCAAGAACGCGCATTTCGTTCTATTTGCGACTCGTCAGTTGAATGTAGTCTATGATATTTCAAGTGAATGGAACTAGATTCCATTGCTATAGTGAACATAAACTCAGGGATCCAAGTACATTCAACATAACTTTATTGCTGTATCCAGAAAAAAAGATCTCGATCAATAATTATCGAATCACATACAACGTATACACGATTATATTGATTATATTGATCATTATTCATTTTGATTGATTCAAAAAATCAATCAAGGTCATTTATTTAATTTTATTCTTGAACAATGTCTATTCTATTCAAAAGATTTTGGTTTATTAATTACTTACTGATTGGATTGAATATTATGGTTTATTCAGTAGGAATTTCAAGAACCTAATACTAAACTTATAACACCTTCAAAGAACTTCTTTATAGGGAACTATGTCTTGAAAATAATCATAGAAGGAGAGAGTTTTTTAAAAAAAAAAAGAGATTCTGTTTCTCTGAAATGTTTCATTATACAGAAACTGATCCATCATGTTTCTATCCCCATAGCAACAAAACTCAAAAGGATACACAGAGATTCTCCATGAAAACAAATGATTGTTTTCTTATTCGATCATTAAAAAACTATGATCCATCTATACAAACGAATAATGATGCTCCTTATTTGGTTCCAGAATATAATACATCCAATTCTAATAACACTATACTTACAATACATAAGTTAGATTCATCTTTTCAATCAAAACTAGATCCTTCCAAATCTGTTGGTCATATACATGATCAACTGAATATACAATCTGGATATGAACCACAAATCAATGAAAGAAGAAATCCTGGAAACTTAGATCAAGTTCATAGAATAACCGATGAACAACAACGTTACATAACAGAAATCAAGTTTTATTTATATAATAAAAGAATAATGAATAGTGATCATTTGAATGATTCATTTTCAGAGGGAATATCTTATGTAAAAGCTATCCCTTGTAAAATAATCCATTCACAGTATAACCATTCTGCGAAAGTGCATTATCCACAAGATATTTCACTACCGTTTGTGTCAGCAACTAACTCTGTTTCTGTGAGTTTTACATTACCATCATTAAAAGGTATCGAAGACTGTTCAAATTCATCCAAAGATAGTTATCCTTATAGTGGAAAACAATCAATTGGTATACAGTTTAAATTATTTGAACAAACTCAGGAACTAAAAGAGATTGTGATTCAAACAACTTATAATGATATGGAAACGTGTTTCCAGGCAAAGGTAGTTTTCAACGTAATATTTATTTACAAATTACTAAGTTGTTACCTAATTTTCCATAGTTTAGTGATCACTACTCTCATTTGAGATAATGAACCAGTCAGTGTTAGACCATCATTAGAAACATCCAAGCACTAGACTGCCGTTTCGTACTAGCAGTGAACTCTCAGAAGTGCAATCCATGACTACACATGAGAGAATCCGACCCAGAACCTTCACTCACGCTCAAACTCATATATTTTTAGACCACTGAGTCTCCATCAAAGTGTTAATTTCTAGCTTAACTCAGTTCACAATATTGCGTGATCATCTTCCATTGTAACACACTTCCAATTCAAAAGCTTATTATATGTTTAATGAAAACCTTAAAGTATCCTTTTAATTTGTTTGGCTTCACTCGATTACTCAATTGGATAGACAGTTTTCATTTATATATTTCGAGATTCATAGAGTAACTCGAAATCGACAAACAAGACTTAGTAGTTCAACAGAAATTTGTCAAGGAAGTAATTTTGTAATACACTTGAACAACAATAAACTGAAAATTGTGGCCTTAAATAAAGTAAGATTTTATGTAGATAATCATAAGCAACATATAATCTGTCACACGCATGGGCCGGTTTATGTTCTCACAACATATCAGTCAGTCAGTCACAACACAGAACTTCGTACGTACGTACATCATTTCGAGTTGCCATACCACATTAGCACAGAGATGAAGTTGTTGATTCAAATCCCATAGTGGTAGAAGTAGTAAGAGTATAAGCATTAATGTGAAAGATTAGGGTTTGAAGATGTTATTGAAGGAGTATAATACAGTAAAATAAATTTGGAAAGAGAAAAAGGATAGGGACATGAGGAATTCAGATTAGAATTTGGTAGAACACAAAAAGTGGATGCACCTTCGCTATTGAAAACGGTTTTGAGCCATGTTATTCAAGGTTTCTAACCATCGGTTGCTATCATCTCGCGAATCCCAACCACGTAGTCTACACCTACCAGCATGGCGAGGTCCAATTGTCAGTGACTTCATGGATTTGTGCCACGTTTCGGTCTGGCAGCCCCTAGCTTTCTTCCAACCTACTCCAGTCCAGGGAAACGAAATGATAAAGACCGATAGTAGTGAGGGGGAGGTAGTAGTAGTAGTACGGATAGCAATAAATGGATGGATCTGTGCTATCATCACTGATTCTGAGTCACGTTAACCAAAATTTCCATCTGTTGGTTAACATATTCTCTCAGACTTCAATCAGGTGTCCTGGACCTGACTATATGGACTTTACGGACTGATGCCATGTTTCGATTTGACCTTTCCTAGTCTTATTACAACCTAATTACAGTATAAAACTTTACATGTTCATAGTGATGGTGATTAGGTAAACATAATCCATGTCCCCACCATATCAGTAGGTCAACATTACTTCAATATGATGATTAATGAAAACATCATATTGTTGTATTAAATGAACGTGAACTATGCTCAACATGACATGCATCATGTGATTAATTATAACTCTGAGTATTTTTCAAATATGTGATTTTATTCTAATTAATAATCAAAAACGGGGTGTACAATCAATACATAATTTGTATGTTTACAACTACGGTCATCATAGTATTTTCAAGTTAACATATATTTACTTATGCCTGTCTTGGTGGAAATTGTTTTTTCAAGTGGAGGTAATAAGTGACGCGGATATAACATCCGAAAATATCAGTCGATCATGATTGACAATCTCATCCATAGATTAGCCATCTTTACACAGTAACTTGAGTGTAACTCAGGAATTACAATCCATGCGAACAATGCTTCGGAAACACTTATCGATTTAGAATACACAGATGACATAGTCCTGTTTGGTGTAGACGCTGACGAAATCCATAGTCTTCTGTTAGCACTAAGTAACAATGCCAGGATGTTTGGGATGCGTTTCTCCCCATCTAAATGTAAATTGTTACTCCAGGACTGGCCTGCGTCAACACCTTAACTAAGGATAGGGAGTGGAATAGTCGAACATGTCGACAACTTCACTTATCTTGGAAGTCTGATCAGTCCTAATGCGTTGGTGTCTGATGGAATCTCAGCACGGAGTCTATAAGCTCGTTTGTCTTTTGCCAACTTACGTCACCTATGGCAAAGGCGAGATATCCGTCTATCAATTAAGGAACGAGTATACGGCACAGTACTCTTTCTTCCTGTACTATACCCTTATATACAACTACTTCTATGAATTCGGTGTTCATCTTGCTGTGCTATTGAGGTATGGAAACTTGGACCGATGCATATATGTTCTTGGTCCTACGTTGTAGCTGACTGACTGACTCCCAAATACTTATAATCATTAGCTTTTGAAGAAGTCAATTTCAATGATAATTTAACTTTAGAATTATCATTTTGTTACTTTTATTTTTAAGATATTTAATAAAAAGCATATAGCAACTCTCCTACAATTAAGTTTGTTTACGGTTAATTGTGGTCTGCTCTATTAAATAGTAAACTGTAGTCGGCGCTTCATCTTGTCTTCTGAATTCATTCACGGTTATCAGGGTGATTCATATCCGAAGCCAAATCACCACAAGTGTTTACCAAGATTACATAAATGACAAGTCGTAGGTCATTTCATCGAATGACCACTTTTCATGGGAACGATATTTAAGTGAATCTATTTACTTCAATTATGAAACATGAATTAATTCAGCTCGTTTTATATTCCTTTTTATTACATTTTACTTTCTTTAGAAATCCAAATATTCATCAGAGAAAACTTCTGTATCATTAAATGAACAACAAAATAATGATGGTTCATTTTCTTCCAAACAAACTCCTAACCAAGGTACCTACAATCAAGGGGAGTCTAATTCTCTAAATGATAATATAGTAAATTATGTTAATCAAAGGGGTGAATTTGATAATGTAGATACAATAGATATAGATAATAGAACATATGTTTGTAGTTGTCATCATTTCTGTTGCCTATCAGAAGGAACTAATCCAACTCAAAATGAAGATCATGATGTTCAACATGAGGATGAATGTATGGAACAATTTGAAGTAGATAACTATTCAAACAATCATACATTAACATTTAAAAAAAGGGATGAAAGTTCCCAATTCTCTTTTAATGTAATGAATGTGGATTCGAACAAACAATCATGTCAATCTAACAACAGAAAGAGTGTTGTATATTCGAATACAAAGAAAGAAACTTGTTATGATAGTATGATGGACGAATGTAATGTAATATGTACTTCTAGCACTAGTGAACACAAAACGAACTCGGATTTACTGGTAGACAATCTTTTCAAAAGAGATAGTCAGGATGAAAAATCCTATATATTACATAGGTGGTTACATGAACAGGTAGCATATTCAACTGAAGGACATATATCTACAGTCAGTGATAAGATTCCATCCTTGAAGGTAAATCGTTCACCTACTTCTCTTGAATATCAGATCTTGAATTCTGTTGATAGTAAACATTCTATTCTTTCAAAAGATATCATAGAAAAAGAAACTAAATTTTCTAATATCATATCACGTTCTGTAGGTTCTTTATCTTCTTCTTCTTTCACACTGTCGATGTCTCACATTAACTCGATTTCAAAAAAGAATAATCAATCAAACAAGTATTATACAACTAAAAGTCAAGATGGTTTAGGATCATCAAAAGAAAAACATGAAAAACTATTCAACAGTTCACCATGTGGATCATCTACTCATACACTTCATAATGAACAATCAAAAAAACAACGAAAACCTTCAAATATTCTATCAAGTAGAGCTCAATCCAAATCGAATTCATTTCCAATTAATTCATCAAAATTACAGAATCATTTATCAAATCATTATGTCATAGATGATAAAAAGGATCAACAATCTAATCAAAGAAGACTATCATCCATTTCAAAAAATCGCTTCCTTGACAAGACAGTAGAAATGTTAACTTCCACAAGGAGATCCAACTACTTGACATACTCTAATGCTGATCCTTTCACAATTAATAATAATAATAATAATAATGATCTCGCCAAAGTTTTTGAATTAGATCCATATGATGATATAATCAAAAGTTATTATAATACTACTGATAGACGTATCAAATCTATTTCTATCAAAACAAATTGTATAATACAAATTAATGGACCATTTACAACATTCTATAAACATGCCAAAAGTAGTATAGTGAATCTCTCTAAAATTAAATATCAATGTCATATTTATGGTTTCAATGAAAAAATGCTTGAAAAATGTATAAATTTTATGAAAGAAACTTTTCCTAATTCATTATTACATTTTTATGAAAAGAAAGGATAATACTCTCCCTACTCCATCCCTCTATTTTTGAAAAAATGTCAAATCAATAATTTGCCTTAATTTTAAATCAATTAGATTAGTTGCTATGGTGATTAATTTGTTGAAATGAAACTATTCAGCTCAGAGACTAACACTTCATCACCTGAGTTATCAATCTTCTACATCATCTTAAAATACACACATTATTTGTCACAATATCAACTAAAAAGGTGTTTGATATTCAAGTCTGTACTATTTTATTTAATGAACCAATCTTATTTTTATTCATTCATAAACATGTGAATAAATTTACACAAATTAGTGTCAGTATGTATGTGTATTGTAAATAAATTGTCTAAGTAGTGGGATTCGAACACGGGACCTATCAGTCTCACGCGTAAGCGCTTAACCTCTAGATCACTGACCTGGCCGGTATTCAACGGTGTTAATGTCTAACTTCAACCATTCTTGGATGCGCACTGCCACTGAGCAGTCCCATAATAGGACGAAACGGCTGTCCAGTGGTTCAAGGTTTTCCATGGTGGTCTGCCTTCAATTAACTCATGACTTCTACTATAAAATTAATAAAAAATCTCCACGAAAACCCCTTTCTGATAATTAGTGAGACCGTAGTGTCATGCTTCGTAAATCGTTCACCTCAATAACCGTTATAATACAAAACTTAACGGTTTATAAAATCAGAAGGCAAAGAGAAGTGGCAACTACAGTTTTATTGACAAATGACACAGGCCAGAAAGTTATAAGGACATGGGCAAATATCATAGAGCAAGCGAAAAATAACGCACATTGGAGATGGCGGGTAAGCCAACTCTAATCATGCGTTAATTAATATTTGTAGTCAGATAAAAATAAATGACAGACATGTGATAAATAGGACAAGAAGTGTACACATACCTACGCTCATATAAAAATGGTCAGGGTTAATAAGTGAATAAATAACAAGGTGAAAACATGACTCATGATGGATAGGTAAATTGACATGTCCAGAAGCTAGAATAAGGTATACGGGCTTAACATATCAACCGACACTAAAAGACTGTAATTCATGGACGATCTTTGACCGACGCTAGATTGACTTTGAAAGTGTCCTCCTAATAACCAGGACCAAATGAGGGTTATGAGCCTATTAGATGATGTACACTAACATGAACATTGCTCGTAAGTAGGTTTCGAAAAATTAAAGACAGAAGAAGTACATAACTACTATTAGATATCTAATCTTTTCTTGTAATGAATAAGCTCAGTTTATGGACAGAATATCAGTAATAGAGAACATCAGTCTGTATCTCTTCTCATCAACATTTTAGTATACCAGAATGAATGAAGATTGTAATATTTTCATAGTTTAAACCACGAAATGAATATCATTCAAACTGAGAAAATTCTATAATCTTCATAATTCACCCCTATGCTAATAAAAATCATGTGTTCGCTTCATGACGTAACTCCTGGTGTTTTAACAGGAATTTGTGACGAGTGAAATTCCGTTATGTTATGTATGAGACAGTTGTACACTTGAAGGAGTTAATAAGATTGAGTAGTATCGTGAATAGATTGAAGTTGGACATGTATATCATTGGATTTTAGCTCAATAATCCAGAGTTTAAGAAATCGCCCACGACACCGAAAGTCTTGGGATTGATTCCCGTATACAATATCCTAGATGAGCACTTCTGAGTAGTCGCACACTAGGATGAAATGGCCGTTCGATGCTTCAAACGTCTTTATAATTCCATTGTTAAAATGATTAGTAACTGTGAATGTTTTAATAAATCTGCGGTGAAAAATAATCTAACACGAATTCAATTGTATGTAACTTTGACTCAAATTACAGTACGTCATTATGAAGATCACGTTTGGAAAGTGCCAAGTTAATGTCTTCTCGAATCTCGTTTTGAAATTAGGAATGCAGTATCCGTAAATCCCCGTAAGTGATCATGTTGATCATCCTAGTTAAAATAGAGTATTCGATTCATGTCAAAGTAAAATAGAAACATATTCTTTTTATTTTCCACACCATAAGTTTCGAATTATTGAAGTTTCATAAATCATAAATACACCATATTGTAATAATTAAGATTAATCTGAGATATTGATGTGATAAACAGAGAACATTGTATCTGAAATAGGTAATATCTATTCTAACTGATTAAAAATAAGTCGGAACTTAAGCACAATCATTCCAAGACATGGAATTAATTCATTGTGTCATTGAGTTATGTTGAATGATACAAACTACTTGACTGGGATTCGAGGGATAACCGCTATTTATCTCTTAGAATCATTCACTATGACCTAGATGTATTCACTCTTCAGTTTCTATAGATATTGAGTTCCGGTACTCCTTTGCACACACCTTTTCATTCTGTCTGTTCTAATCGCATTCTCACTCTCATTGCTACATTTGTAAGGCGTGATCAATAAATGAACCCACCAATGACAGCATTAAACGACCACTACCACTTCGACTCATTATGACGATTTATGACCATGCCTTGTTCATTTACAAATCACAATCCTTCATGTTTTCATAAACGATGTAGTTTTAGACAGATGGATTGTGGCTAACAATGGAATCCAGGACGCTCATTTTGTGTTATTTCGAACTCGCCAGCTAAATCTACCTGTATCTCAGAGCTGATGTTCACTCCGGAGCTCAAGAGTAGTACTGTTCACTTCAAAAGACATCACGTTATCCAATTAGCTACTAAGTTTACATAACCATTAGCATGTTCAATTAAGTGAATTTTAACTTACGTTCATAAACATTCATTGTTTGAATCTTCCCATTGATGTTTAAGACTACAATTAATCAATCTCTTTTGGCATATGTGCATCCCGTTAAGGCATTGGGCTTTAGTCTCGAAGTAAACATAAACTCGGATGCAGATGCATCCAGCTGACGGTTTCCCAATCGGATGAATCGTACGTCTTAGATTCCACTGCCAGCCAACATCCATCTTTGTTTAAAATACTTGCGACTTACTGAGAATATCGAGGCAATACGCACAATATGCCCATATTTAAGAAGAGACTGATTAGTTGCAGTACTAAACATAAATGGAAAAATTCAAACATACAATTTATAAATCAAATTGATATTAAGTTTTGTTGACTCAGTAGTGCCGTGCTTCGTTAATCATTCACCTCCATAACCGTTATAACACAAGTCTTAACTGTGCATAATATGAGAAGGCAAAGAGAAGCGGTAGCGACAGTTATATTGACAAATAACGAAGGCCAGAAGGCTGTGAGCACATGAGCAAATGTGAGCGAGCGAAATAAAAATGACAAGTATTAGAGATGGCTGGTAAGCCAACTCGAGAGAGCGAAGCGAAAATAATGCGCATTGGAGATGAAGGGGAAGCCAACTCATTCTAAGTAAGCGTTAATCAGTATTTATAGTCAAACAAAAATAAATGACAGACATGTGATAAATAGGATAAGAAGGAGTACACAAAACTACGCTCATACAATAAGTGAATAATTGACGAGATGAAAACATGACTCATAATGGACAGGCGAATTGGCTTGGTCAGAAGCTAGAATAAAGTATATGGGCTTAACATATAAAACGATACTACACTCATGTTTCCTATGCTCTAGTTACTGTCACGTATGTTATTTACGTTATACTTTTGCCTGTTTGGTAGATTGCATTAATTGCATACTAACGGTGTTAATTAACCCCGCCCGTAGCTCTTCTAGACTTACTGCTGTTCCCAAGCCCGAATAAAGGAGGAGGGTTGAGCATTGGGTCGACAACCCCATCCCGTAGAAAACAACATTGCTAAAAAAAACACCAACCAGATTAAACGAATCAAGTTAACGGGGTTAAGGTTATAGAAACGGATGGAGTTTTTAATGTTGGTTTATTCTCTGAGATGGATGGTTTGGTCGTGGAGCTTTCATCGTCCACCATCTCAAAATCATACCGATGGAGTTTATCAAACCAAATCGCTTACTAGTTCTGATTTCGGCTAAGCTAAGTCTCAGTAATCAACAGACTAAGGATTAGGTTTTCATTGCATCTGGAAGAAATTACTTCCTAGAATTACATTATTAAAATTCTTTAACTATTCTTCTAAACGATTTTATCTCGTCTTATTAATGTGTTATGGAAACTGAGATTAATGCATATTTGTACCACGCTTTTCATCGGCTATGAAAAAACTGAATCTTAAAATGAAATGGTTATTTAAGGTATAAATTAGTGAAGACCTCATGATGACCTAAAGATTAATGTAAAAGTATAAATTTTTTAAATCAGTCTTTGGAGAAAATCGATTTGAATAACATTAAGTTTATTCCAATTGTAAGAATCTATTCACACTTTATCTTCTTATAAAGTATGAATACCAATTATTATAACTACTTTTTATATCCTGATATCAGTATAAGGTTATGGAGATTGTTGAGTTCCATTCAGATCACGAACTGATCAATATTGGACTACCATTGAAAACCTAGAGGCACAGGACAGCTTTTTCTCCCTAGTTTGGAACCCCTCAACAGTACGTATCCACGACCCAGCACGCGGAACCCGAACTCAGGGCCTTCAGTCACCCGCATGATTGCCTAACCTTTAAACCACTGAGCGGACATCTAACGGCGTTAATTTCTAAACTCAAAGAATACACGATATTTTGCGGCTGTCTTCCATTGTCTTCTTTAGGTAACTGCCTTATCCTCGATACAGTTGAACTCCATTGCTCACTGTTTCTCATTAGATCTCCGAGAAATAACTCTCAAAGCTAATCACTGCCGATAACATGCTGATTATCAGTATAAGGTTGTAAAGAATTATGGTCTAGTGGGTTCCTATGTAGGGGTTAAGCGTTCGTGAGCGTGGCTGATGGTTCTGATTTGGATTTCCGCTATCTGGGTCGTGGTTGCACACTGCTAAGGAATCACATACTTTCAGGTCTAGCATCAGTCAGTTCATGATCTCACTCAAATAAAAAGATTAAGAATCCTTCAGATGGCTGAACTGATAGCTATTCGGATCAAAAAGTCAGAGTTTTGAGTTCAGAAGAAATATATTCAACCTCTCGTTTTAGCGTGACCAACTTCTGGCCTAATTAATTTGGAATCATTTTGATGATATGGTGATGTAAATCGATTAATGTTCATACAACTTTTCTCTTAATATTTTCGTTACTTAAACTTACCTTGATCACACATATTATTCATACTAGCATTATCACTATTGTTATCATTATTACTATAAAACCTGCCAACGTTTATTAAGAAACCTATTCAACATCCAGCCCTATTTACTAATTCTTATCGAATTTATATTATTCT